TCTGTCTACACACACATACACACACATACACACACACACACACACACACACACACATATATATTATAAATTAATTGATGTTTTTTCGCTACACAGTTCTAACCATGTTTCAAAAATTTTTGAAACATGGTTAGAACTGTGTAGCGAAAAAAAATATTTTAAAAAATCAATTAATTTATAATATTAATGCTCTGTAAATTTACATTGAGCACTAGTTTGTAAAAATAAAAATATCTCTAAGAACACCGGATTATATATCTTACTGTTCTTTCTTTATACATACATATATATATATATATATATATATATATATATATATAGCTGAGCGGGCGTAGGCCTGTAGATATCTTTGCAATCACATATAATATATCACTATATATATATGATTGTCTTTATATATATATACATGTATATACATAATTATTTCAGTCTATTTCTACTTAACTAGATATCTTTTCATATTTTATCTCATTTATTTATCTTAAATTGTTCATATATCTATAACTATGTTTATATATATATATTCATATAGCAATATGCATGCTTGTTTATATATATATATATATATGTATATGTATAAATATATATATATGTGTGTGTGTGTGTGTATATATATATAGCAGTTTATTCATATCTGTCTGTGTACCAATTTCTCTGAATCTATCTATATCACCCTCTTCATATCTATCTCTCTATCTATATCAGTCTGTTCATAACTGTTTATGTTTATCATACAATAACATTTAAGTATTTTTAAAATCGGTGACACATAAGTAGTCATGGTGTGTCTTCATCATGCAGATGTGGAATGTATGGCTACGTAGACACTTTTTAGTAAAATTAGGTCTCGAATTTTACGTCTGGAATCTTAAGTTTCGATTTCACATTCTTGATTTAGAGTCCCAAATATCCAACAACAAAATGGGGAAAAGAATATGAAAGCATTTACATCACGATAATTTCCCAACAGAATTGTGTCTTTTCAGTCATTCTATCTAAACTCTATTTGACATAAATGGCCTTCTCTTGCCATGATTACAAATGGATATAGTTATTTTTTTTAATGCTGTTGATTGTCAGTTAATTATGAGGGAGTGGATTTCTATCTATTTAGTGCTTGACTCTTTAAGAAGATCAAGATTTCGATTCGAATTTTATTTCATGAATGCGAAATTGATTATATCAATCCCAGATTCTGTTTTCTATGTTGATAAACACGACGCAAAAATTCGCCTATATAAATTAAGTACACTATTTTACTTACATATTTCTTATTATAATGCCAGGAACCTTAAGGGTATAGGCGATCATGGCTCTATACTGTTTCCTTTTTTTATTATCTGACACTATTTGGAAAAGATAATGACCATTTGTACAAGACAATGCAGTGGATTCCTGCTGAATTCTACATATATTTTATCATCCAATATATATATTTGATAATAATAATAATAATAATAATAATAATATTAAGTATATATAAGCTTTAGAACTAAGCAATCATAAAATAAGGGTTTTAAAAGGTTCAAATCAATCGAAAGCATTGATTGATTTCAGCCGTTTAATTCTACATTCAACACCATCACTTGATAGGACACCAGAAGTGTTGAAACATAACGGCTATTTTTGTAGTGATTTTATAACATATTTATGTTATAATTTTCGAATAAATTATATATATATATATATATATATATATATATATATATATATATAAAGAAACAAGTAATCTCCCTTTAATAATAAAAAAAATTAATATTCAAGACTAAAAGAATAATTTTTTAAATTAAAAAAACAGTAATCCTGGTATAATATATGTCTACGCTAACATTACGATAAACAGATATATTTAAAAAAAATTTAAATTACTTAACAGTCAATCTATACTTATCACCGGAAGATTCTGTTGTGCATGATACTCCCCGACATACTATCGGTATGGGATAATATATACACATATATATATATATATATATATATATATATATATATATATATATGTGTGTGTGTGTGTGTGTGTGTGTGTGTGTGTGTGTGTGTTTATGTGTGTGCATTTATGTATCATTATGTATTTCCGTAGCAATCCCTCTTTTATACAGATTTCATTGAAGACGAGTGTGTGAGTACTACGATTAAGCTTTTATATTTTCATGCATTTGGAAAACTGCTTAAATGATCTGTGTAACCCAGTTATTGCAGCTAATCTATTAGCCATTAGCAAGTATATTTTTAACTAAATGTGTACTTTATTTTGTAGGAAATGGTATTTATGTTACACACTCTATGTTCACAAAAGAAATTGTCCGAATATAAGACAAATATAATAAAAAGCAGTGTCTTATTTGTAGTCTCTTATGAAATGTGTTTGTATATATATATATATATATATATATATATATATATATAAAGTCAGATTGATGTTACCTTCAGCATCCCGACTCCAGAGTTTCGTTGACGGACCTGTCCGTCTACTCTTCATGTGAAATCAGCAATTTACTATTCATTTACACACGCATATATATATATATATATATATATATATATATATATATGAATGATCAAATATAGATCAAGTATGGATAAGAAATGACAAAATGATAGGAAAAAGAACAAATAGGAAACTAAACTTTTACACACAATAACTCCCCGAATGTTTCTCTCACATCTCTTATTCTTTACACATGACACGTATTTTACTAAGAAGTAACGAAACACAACTTCCCATTAATCTACGCCTCTTTGCTTATAATCATTTTTTACCATTTCTATCTTGATCTATGACGAGGCTTTAATAAATTGAATCATGTTATATTGAGATCCGTCTCCTACTTATTCTTTATCCTATCACCATATATATATCGTCATAGATAAACAGGCTGTTTCACTGTATCAAAGCTCTTCAGTCTTGCTAGACTTCTGGCTATCTCTAGCTAGGATGGAAACACGGCTGAATTGCTGTCAGTCGGATATTCTACCCCTAAGCATTAATACATGCCAGGGATGAAGGTGAGTTTAAGCGTATTTATTTTTAGATAAACACACAGTAACTGAGAGAATTCGATTCCCTTTACCGAAGAGTCTTGCATTACTAGCAGTACTAATCACTGTTCACAAACTCACACTTTCTCTCCAGAGAGCTCAACCGAAATAAATGTGTGTGTGTGTGTGTGTGTGTGTGTGTGTGTGTGTGTGTGTGTGTGTGTGTGTGTGTGTGTCGCCCGGTACACACGGTTTTTGAAACGCGTAAATTGTTCTTATCTCTTTAATGTCTAGGATTGTTTTTTGGGGTTTCCGGTTCCTTCTGATGTCATTTCATTTTCTTTCATTCTCAATAGCCCTTTGCCTCTTACTGGCATCATCGCCTTCCTTGGAGCGAACTCTTCATATATATATATATATATATATATATATATATATATATATATGCATTTGCACACAGTCTTATAATGTTTCAAAGAAATGCCGGCTTTAGATTGTCTATGACTTTAAAAGCTATTAAAATCAACATTTTACCGTAAAATCAGTTGATTATTTGTTTAACCATTCTTGCTCTGTATGCGATTCCAGTCGCTGGATAGAGATGTTATTCTGCCACTGAAGGTGACTGTGATCCCTAAACAAAAGTGTGTTTGAACCTCATAGTTTTGTTGTCATATCCTGCTATGGCAACTGAAAAAAACTTTGATTGAAATTAACAATAAGCTTACAGCAGTTGAGATGTATTGAAAAAGAATGCAGTAAAAAGGTAAGTAATATTAATAATACAAAATGCTAAAAGTTAATTTAAAATATAAATATAAAAAGTTAATTTAAAATATAAATATAAAAAGTTAATTTAAAATATAAATATATAAAGTTAATTTAAAATATAAATATCTAATTTTATATGATAATAAATACAAGTAATTTTGAACACCCTTGCTTTTCCCTAATTCTGTTTTCTTACTGCATTTAATTGTCTCCAAATAAAATGAAACAAAAAAATAAACATATCTTTGGGACATCTTCTTCTTTAATGACTTGTAATTAGTGAAGTGAATGCCCATGAGTCGCAAAAATTCACTCAATAATGCCACTACGGACAAAAGCATTGCTTAACTGGTTCCAAAATGACATGATCAAAGAGTTGTGAATTTAATCCCTGGCCACCACAGAATAAAAACTTGGAGAGTTAAGTTATCTAGGGGAATTAAAATTGAGATATCCAAAGGCATGACACCTTAACTTAGAAAAATCTACCCGGTTGATTAAATAAAGTTTTCAGTTCGAAATTTTAACAAATATCGCTTAAAGAAAGCCGGACAGTTCAACGTCCGAAACTTCGTGAGTATGGCAATAAAAATGAGGACAACAATGTAAAGTGTGTAAATAGTTACAATACCACATCTCAAAAATATGGACAATTCTTAAATCTTATCTAATTTCACTTATACGTACCTTGCTTTTATTCATTTTCATGAAATTTGAATAAAAATAACACTTCAAATATTTAGGCCGCTCGTAGATCTATCTATCTATCTATCTATCTATCTATCTATCTCAGTCTTTTCAGATCTATCTTTTTCAGTCTCTTCATATCTATCTATCTATCTATCTATCTATCTATCTATCTATCTATCTATCTATCTATCTCAGTCTCTTCATATCTATCTTTTTCAATCTCTTCATATCTATCTATCGCAATCTTTTCATATCTATCCCAGTCTTTTCATATCTATCTATCTATCTATCTATCTATCTATCTATCTATCTATTTATCTATCTAAGTCTGTCCTTTATCTATCTATCTATCTATCTATCTCATTCTGTACATTATCTATCTATCTATTTGTCTGTCTGTATGTATGTCTCTCTGTTTGCTGGTCTTTTTCATATCTATCTATCTCTCTCTCTATCTATCTATCTCATTCTATTCATATCTATCTATCTATCTATCTATCTATCTATATATATATATATATATATATATATATATATATATATATTCTACGAGCAGCCTGAATCTTTGAAGGTATTGTTTCCGATATACCAAAAAGTTATGTTTTATGTTTGTTTGCCGTGTGCGATAGGCAGCAATAAACTACAGAACTCAAAATTGATCGCTGCATTTAACTATTGCATTAATATATTTAAGCTTACCTTTTAAAAGTTCAACGATAATTCTCCTGCCGTGACTTAATTTAAAAAAAAATTGATGTGCGCAGGTCCTTACATTCCGTACATACAATTAATTTTATTTCATGGGCAACTTTCGCAATTTATTTTGATTATTCGCAAATTCATTTTCAAGTTATAAAAATTTTTATCTTACAAAAAAATTCGTCGCAGAAAATCATGTAAAAAATCGAAAACAATCGCAGTAATGAAAACTTGCGTATCCAACATTTCTGTAATATGAGCTATTGAATGTTAGAGAGTTGTGTCCCTTTAATTGAGAAAGTGTGACAGAGTGATACACTGACATTCGTAATTATTATATATTATTGCCCTTTTTTAATTGATACATTGTGCTAAAAAAACTCTCGTAGACTGTGCAGAATAAATTATTTAAAATGGATATTAGAAAACAATAATTTGAAATAAAAATGTGTTCTTTGAAAAACTGGTCATACATGTAATTAGGGATTTTTAAATGATTATTTATAAAATTAAAGCAAGAAATACATTGCTTTCAGCTTAGATTGGGTTTAAATAGATCTCAGATCTATGTAGCTTGAATAACCGCATTAATTTTATTTCATTCTTTTTTTTTTTTTTTACTTACTTTCTTTCTCTGTTCTTTCCTTCTTTCATTTCTTCTTTTTTCTTCTTTATTATGACCAGTACCAACTAAATGTATTTCGGCCAATATTTTGAGGTACGTAGTTAAAAAAAAAAATGTTTAGATCCAGCTGAAGTCAAGAATGTAAACGACGCACTACGAAAATTTTTTGTTGGTTTGAAAGAGATATATCTGAATGTTGATTCACTCTGGCTAAGCCCGACAAGCCCGACCGCCGGAGTTGTCAATGTTATGTAATGATTATATTACCTTAATCCCCAGGAAAGAAAAACTGTTAGAAGACTACAAAAACTAAACAAAAATCTTATAAAATATTCCTTGTCCGTCACACATGTATAAAAGAAAGATTGGTGCCCAAATATATAAATTGATATGCATATGGTGGCATAAAAATTTTGTTATGGCAATGAGGCCTTCAAGATTTAGACACCCCAGCAATACATTACGATATTACAATATATTATTGCTTCCTAATTATCCGCTATCATCAAGTAAGGCATGAATGCCACTAAGACGCAAAGGACTACTGCGAGTGAAAGAGAATGAGAAAACTTTACAAGGAACAGGGAGACCAATCCAAATCAGGAAACAAAAGGACAAACCCCTACTCCTGTTCAAAAACCGGGAAGGAGTGTGAACCAGACGATAGATGAATATATCTATTCCTATTGAATTAAGAAAAAAGTTTTAAAACTAGTAAACAGAATTTCAGAGTTTATACGGAGACGTTAGAGTTGAAGTAGACTTTAGAATTAACTAAACAAGAGAAATGGATAAAGCTTTACTCCTGTTCAAAAGACCGAGAGGAGTGTGATCGGGTTGATAGGCGAACCTATATACTCCTATTAATTTCAGTTTTTTCTGCTTATTGTAACAAAATCATTAAATATTATTGGTTATTGGTAGTCAGTTTCGATTTCTGCAGTCATACAACGCACATATATATTTCTGAAGTCGTAAGCCAAAATAATTAAATTGGATGCATTCATTTCGGAACGATACTTTGAAAAACTGTCATGATGCATAAAAACGAGATATTACGAAGTTGACCAAACTAATGTAGCACAAAAACAAATGAATCTTTTGAAATGTCTTACAAAAGATGTAAATATTCAGATATTGGACAATTTACATTTAAACTGTACCAAAAACAAGGAGAATAATCCTAAATATAGAAAAAATGTTTTAAAAAATCCTTAAAAAGATAAATAATCATTAACAAATAATCCTTCCTGTTTGTCTTTAACCAAAATTATACAAGGGTGGTCTGAAAATCTATGAAGAATTGGTGCGAGAATTGTGAAATCATGCGTACATTAATTTCCATACTTCTTATTGATAACTGCATTGTTTATTTCCGGGTAAACTGACATCTGACTGTTCAAAGACAACTTCAAAAGTTACTACAGTGTAACCCGGATATAAGAGAGTTGTCGGGACCGGAGAAAAAGTCTCTTATATCCGGGCTTCACTTATATCCGGGTTTGGTCTATTTTATATACATTAACACAGGCTCTAATTTGGGACCAGAGAAAATCTCTCTTATATCCGGGTTTCTCTTATATCTGGGTTTCTCTAATATCCGGGTTACACTGTACATTAACACAGGCTCTAATGTGGGACCAGAGAAAATCTCTCTTGTATCCGGGTTACACAGTACATTAATACCGGCTCTAATTTGGGACCAGATAAAATCTCTCTTATATCCGGGTTTCTCTTATATCTGGGTCTCTTATATCCGGGTTACACTGCACATTAACACAGGCTCTGATTTGGGACCAGAGAAAATCTCTCTTATATCCGGGTCTCTTATATCCGGGTTACACTGTAGTAGTGACTTCGCTTGAATATCGACAAAACTTGGCATCGTGGTATTATTAGGCACCTGTAGAAAATGGGTTTCGTCCCAAAAACATTTATGCTGACATGCTTAGTACATTAGCTTTAACAGTAGAAAAGTGAGCAGCTGAATTTAGGATTGGAAGGGAGAGTTTTAAAAATGATCCTAGGTTTTGACGTCCTGCAACTCTCACTGCCGAAGAAAACATTGATCCTTTTCACAACATAATTATGGATGGCAGGCGATTGATTATAAATCAAATATTCAATGCTACTAGCATATCCCGGAAAAGAATTAAGATTATTCTGCACAATCAACTTGGCATGACAAAGGTTTCTGCTCGGTGGATGCCACGTCTTCAGACACCTGACAGAAAGCGCACTAGGCTGATCAGATGACAGGGAAAATCTGACAGATCCAGCTTGTTTCCTTGAACGTTTCTTAACCCAGGATGGGTTTTGGGATCATCATTTTGAGCCAGAGACAAAGAGGCAATTCATGCAGTAAAAACAGCCAGCCTCACTTGCTACAATTAAGACCAACGTCGTTTCAACTCCAGAGAAGGTAATAGGTTCAGTTTTGCGATGACAAATGTATTGGGCTTATTAAATTCTTCAAACGGGCCACACTATCAATTGAGAGTACAATACCAACTTGCTGAGGAAGTTAGGAAAGGTGATCAAAAACAAAAGCCCAGGAAAACTGACGAAATGAAAAATATGTAGCACCCAAGGCCTTGCTTTCAATAGTTAACTGAGCGTGACAGTGGCTTTTGTTGATTCTCCTGATTTGGTCCGATCTGACTATCATGTGTTCCCCAATATAAAAAAAAACTAAAAAAAAAAACACTTAACTAGGAACCAGAAACGCAAAAACCTCTTCACCAATTTGACCCAAGCACTGCAATACCGATGGAATAAATATATGAACCGAAAGGGAGAACATGCTAAAAATAAACCATATTTGGTCAAATTCCATGAGAGTACCTTGCTCAGCTTATGACCCTTTCAGCCGAACCGTGTATATATATATATATATATATATATATATATATATATATATATATATAGGATTAGTTGTGGTCTTATGTCCATCGTCTTTTCATGTTGAATTTTATATGTTCTAATGTTAATTATGTTTTATGAATATGTCCTGATAATGGTCTAAAATAGACCGAAACGTCCGACGTTGACTTTATATTAACATTAATACAGCATAATTGCATATTAAGATTTTTGTTTGTTTTTTCTGTATATTTTTCTTCATATATATATATATATGTGTGTGTGTGTGTGTGTGTGTGTGTGTGTGTGTGCGCGCGCGCGCACGCGCGGTACTTAATGGAAAGCGTTCAATATTTGTGACTGAGCTAACATGTTCAGTTGTATGGATATTAGTTTTTCTATTCAGTTGTATGGATATTTTTTGTCTATCCATACAAATGAAGATATATGTGTGTGCGTGTGTTTGTGCGCGTTTGTGTGTATGTTTCTCTCTGTGTGTGTGTGTGTGTGTGTGTGTGTGTGTGTGTGTGTGTGTGTGTGTGTGTTGTTCTTTCTATATTCTTGGAAACTAATATAAATATTCAAGGAAACATTTATTATTTCCATGATATCTTCCATCATATGAATATATCATGACAGACTATATTCCACACGTACATTGTGCAACAGTTTTAAATGTTCTAAGTTTCACTTTATTAGATAAGTCACAGAATCTCCGAGCAACCTTATGATGCCATTAGAAAATTCAACCTCGCAATTAAATTATTGATTTGAGACTTCGAACTTCAGAACCGGGCATACAAATAGCTACCATTGAGCCCACATCCACAGAGAACAAAATGGATTTCATTCTAATTACGAAAATTGTTTTTATCATTCAGAAAATATACCTTTCCACGGCCAATGCTGGTTTCACTTAAGGTTCATAATATTTCTGGCATCTTCGATTTTTCTGTGTATTGGGTTTTGTTTTGTCTTCTAAACTGAACTTTTGGGTTTTCATGCATCAGAATTAGCAGGAGATTCCGTAATACGCGAGTAAATGGATGTGCATGTGACGTGGGGATTATCAAAACGAAAAATAGAATTGACAGCCAACGGTCCGAATTCAAATTGCTTCCAAACCTGTTGCGCTCAGTTCATAGAAATGTTTTATCTCCCTTTGCTATAGTTTAATTAGTATGATGGATTGAGATTTTTAACTTTGTGGACAAGTATTGGAAAAGCATATGAATTCAAACGTCCCTGCCAACACATAATGGGCATGACTTGACAAAGTCTGGTAATCTTCTAAAAATTACTCACCCTCAATGTAAGGCAATGTTCTAAAAATTACAACCTCATATATATATATATATATATATATATATATATA